TGGTAGGAAAACCCACAATGCCCAAGCTATATTTATTGAAGAAAGTGACGCAACAGTTTCGGTCGTCCTTGATTCCATCTTCGGGTCTGAAGATGGAATTGAGGACGATCCCGAAACTGTTGTCTCACTTCAATAAATCTAGTTTGTGCATTGTGGGTTTTTCTACCATAATATCAACATGGTGGAGTGTTTTTCAATTCAGAATAAGTAATATTAGTATTATCAGTGATGGATATCATGATAATATTATTGGCAGCTGGATAAGGGTAGAAGTGACTGAATGATTTTTTTATCATTCACAACAATAGTGCAGTTGTTATTACAATCACTACTTTGTTCTTTACAATACGTTCTCAAGATATATGTATATATATTTTTTCAGAAGTACAATTTCAAAACGAGAGCAGAGGCATGATAATATATCAATGATAATATCTTATTTCTACAAATATGCTAGACTAACCACCAGAGACTGTGACTGATGAGAAATTCTGGATCTCCCCATCCCTTAAGATCTGAAAGACAGAAAAATATCACACTAAATAATAAAGATAAAAACAAAAACAAAAAAATTTATGATCAGTTGATGATTTTAATCTTCCCTTATCGTCAATGACATCTAATCCCAAGATATTTTAATTATGCACTTTATCCGTTCAATATTTAATACATCAATTTTAATACTATATACTTATGCATTCCTTACCTGGCAGACTCTCGGGTCAAGGGCTCCGGCGCACGGCGGGCTCGAAGCTTCACAGTAGTCCTGAATCGAGACACACGAAGCATCACCGAACCTCTCGCAGTTATAAGACCCTCGTTCACACGTTTCGGAGCGCCAGACCTAAGTGGGATAATGTATGACAGGAATTGTTGACTCTTGTTATGAGTTGGAATTTTTTTTCCATGTGTGTGTTTGTGTGTTTCTGCGCTTGTGTCTATGTGTATGTGGACGTGTATACGCGCGCATATACACAAAATATTTTTTTCCTTAAAGTAATGAAGCAGTCTCAATCAGATTTGAAAATCGCGATACTAGCCACTATTCGTGATTTCACTTACTGCGCACAAGTCGCCGTCCTCGTCGGAATTGTCGCCGCAGTCGTTGTCGCTGTCGCAGATGTAGCGGAGGGGAATGCACCGCGTGGAATCCTTGCACCTGATCTCATCTGAAGAACACTCCTGGCCGGCTTTTGGAGGATGGAAGAACATGTGTTTATATATAGGTGGTGTGTGTGTTTACGAGTATGCATATGTATATATATATATATATATATATATATTATATATATATATATATATATATATATATAATATATAAACACATACCTATATACATACACACACATACTCTCCCCCCCACACACACACATATGTATATATACATATATGGATAGATATACAGCTAGATAGATATAGATATATATGTATGTATATATAATAAAAGATGAGAAATCGATGTACATATATAGCTATAGAGAGATAAAGTAGATATAGATATATATTCAGCATATGTAGATGTAGATATATGTACGATAATTTTTCATTTATCTACCAAAACCTTCATTATATTCGCATGGAACGTTCAAAAATAAGGAGGATTTTCTTACCCGTGTAATGACAGCAGAGGAGGACAAGCACAAAGGTCACCGTGGAGGTCATGGCGCCCAGCTGTTTCTGGAAGGGAAAAAGAGGTCTGGCAGAAAAGCAAGCTGCGGTTTGAAGTTATTTTTTTTATCTCTCTTCTTTTCTGTCTGTCTGTCTATCTAGCTTTCTGTCTCTTTTTCTTTCTCTTGCTCTATCCTTCTCTCAATCTCTCTCTCTCTCTCTCTCTCTCTCTCTCTCTCTCTCTCTCTCTCTCTCTCTCTCTCTCTCTTCTCTTCTCTTTCTTTCTTTCTTTCTTTCTTTCTCTCTCTCTCTCTCTCTCTCTCTCTCTCTCTCTCTCTCTCTCTCTCTCTCTCTCTCTCTCTCTCTCTCACACACACACACACACACACTAATCAATACCATCTATGCAACAATGGAAATGATTATGATATTCTGCTGATAAAGTGTTTTCAGTTTTCAATATAATGTGATAAACTGGAGTATACTCATATAACATATAACAGCAAGAATAATAAATTCCATCTATCAGAAATAAACGGTTTATACGGTATCGGTATAGCGTGAAATAGAATTTAACACGAAAAATACCGAAATTATCTAGAAAAAATTCTTGATCATTCAGACATACAGATATAACGAAGAAATAACATTATATAACGCGGCTTTATTGATTGGAGTTCGTGATAGAATGTTTTTTGTGGAATTTGAGATAGATATTTGTTTAGACAGACTTCTACAATGCAATACAAATTCATAAAATTTACTACGTTGAGTATTTATCTTTTTTTCTGTGTCGAATGTACTGTACCATGCATCAGAAATTTTAAATGCACATGCATACACACACACTCACACACATATATATGTGTGTGTGTGTATGAATATACGTATA